TAGATAGATAGGTAGATAGATAGGTAGGTAGATAGATAGATAGGTAGATAGATAGATAGGTAGATAGATAGGTAGGTAGATAGATAGATAGATAGGTAGATAGATAGGTAGATAGGTAGGTAGATAGATAGATAGGTAGATAGATAGGTAGATAGATAGATAGGTAGGTAGATAGATAGATAGGTAGATAGATAGATAGATAATGATAGATAGATAGATAGATAGATAATGATAGATAGATATACCAGCACCCTCCAACAGGTCCCCTTCAGACATATACATATATGTGCACACATCTGTGCGTCGCTGTAGTTCTGCCCCGCACTCCCGAATCCCCGAATCCCCGAATCCCCGCCTTCCGCTTGCAAGAGGGGGTCGAATGCCTCAGTTCTCGTGCTCTGCAGCTTTCTTCTCGTTTCTGCTTCGGGATCTCCCTTGAAGAAAGCCTTGCACAGAAAACACGGCCTCCGATTCTTTCTATTGACCATGTCCTGGACACCAAGCTAAAACATGATCTATCTCAGTGACTCAATGGTGAGAAGCCTGTTGCAAAGTCACCAATCAACTTGTTACGCACCACATCTAGTATTTCACCATGGTGCACCTCGTGAACTCTCAAACAGATACACAACCTTTATCCATCAGAAACGACCCAGCAAATGCTGCCACACTGTCACCAGGTGCTCCGCAACGCACACCCGACACACCGCAGCCGTGGCGCGGTCCGCCAATCCAAACCAGCCGTCGTGGATTGGAAGAGGGTCATCAAGGCGCCTCCTGGAAAGGAGGAGTATTGGGGGCGGATGAAGGGCCGATCAGACACGAGAAAATGAATGAACGGAACCTTCTTGAAGGAATCGGAACGCGAGGAGGAGATATATATCCTTTTTTGTTGGACTCCTTTTGGATCTTTTGGGACTCGTCTGGGGCATGGAGGTCCAACAAAATTTTGAAGGATGTTGCCGTTATTATCCTTGATGTGTCTGGAAATTGCGACTAGGCAACCAGCGAGGAGTTGAGAATACCTGATTGATAATTAGATTGCCCTACCTATCTACCTATACCTACCTACCTACCTACCATTATCTATCTATCGACATTCAGTTTCCTTTCAAGGCTTGCAAGCCCCCGGAAGGCCAGGAAGCAGCATGAGGCCCATTGGGACCGTCAACTTGCCAACTCCACACTTGGAGTGCCATAGTCGTCATAGTCCAAAGGCTTGGGATTCTACTAGCTACATCTAGCTACTAAGACTTCCAAAGATCATGGCCACCTCTCACCAGATGTGTTCACAGACTCGGATGATGGACACCAGCAGCTCATAGACTCCTTACGTTCGCTCATCTCTTCACCGCTCCGCGCATCGCCGCCGCGCTCTCGACCGGTCCGACGGAGCCGAACATGTCCAAGAGCTCGGTGCGGTGCTTGTCCGTCAGGTTCTCGGCCTGGTGCGGTGCGCAGCTGGCACCCGCCCAAGCGCAGGAGGAGGAGCCGCAGCTGTTTTTGGCATCAGCTGAGCGAAAGGTAGAAGTGGACACATGACGGGAGAATCCAGGTGGCGAGGTCTACACCTCGCGAAGGTCGCGCGCTCTCTTTTTTTTTTCTCGGCTCTTTTCAGACTGCAATCTGCGAAGTCCAGGCCATTGGCCAAAAGTGGGCAGCAAGGCTCATTCTCCTTGGACTGCCAGTGAGCTCCACCTCAACTGTCCGAGCTGCCCGGACCAAACCTCAGGGTCGTCTGACCCTTGGCTTTCAAGCAGTGCTGGTGCACCCATTGGCCAACTCTGCCTTCCACAATCTTTCCAAACTTGCGGCAGTTCTGGCACTCCACCCATACTCCACGGCGCAGCAGGTTGTGACTGGGGTGGATCCTCATGCGCAGATTGAGCGCCGCTTCATCGACCTTCTCATGGCTGCAAGCCTTGTCCACAAGCTGCTTCAACTGCAGCTTCCCACTCCTCCTGGGGATCTTCTCCCAGCACTGCCGGCAGCCAAAGTGGCTCCCCTGGAGGTACCATCTGTGTCCCTCCTGGCCTTCTGTCAACAAGCTGGAGTCGTCCACCAATTCCTTCATTTGCTGCTCCATGGTCTTTTCTGCAAAGCCGCTGCAGGCTGCATCTTGCTTCTGTGCAATCTCAGCAAATGTTGCACATCCTTTGATCTTCTTGTTGCACAGGCCGCATTTCACTCCATTGTTGTGTTTCTCCCACTTGTGGGCACCCTCCTGATGTGGGCGAAGTGTCAGCTGCCGGAGCACCTCAATCCTGCCTCCCTTAGGGCTGTCCTTCTTCACTTGCTTAGTGCTGGTCGGCACAGGTTCCAGCTGCCCATTCATGTAGTGGTTTCTGTCCTGCAGAATGTTGCTGATGCGCCTGCCTGCAACTTGATATACTTCATAATGGAGCTGATCCTCTACCTTCAGTTCATTCTCCAGCGCTGTGGGCCTCATCCCATTGGCTCTGGAGGCAGCCGTTTGCTTGGCCATGAGGTACTGCCATTTGCCCCGGGCATCACCTTCCTGGGCTTTCAGCATTTTCCACGGCACCTGCACCAATTGAAGTCGGGACCACTCCTCCTCCGGCAGATGATGCCATAGGTCCGGGGCCACCGTACCCAGTGCTCCTTTCCGAATGGCTGTCCATCCACCCCGATGTGGGATGTTGACCTGATGGCGCCCAAGCACCATTTGCAGGATCAGCCAGCAACCAAAGAACCAGGCCCTTGCTTCTGTGGCCTGCCCAGGCGCCACTGCAGTGCAATGGCCAATGTTCTGCCAGCTCCCTGCTTGCCATTGTGTGGCTACCACCGCCACCACATACTTCTTCAGCCTCCCATCCTTGCTGGTGGCTTGCACACCAATTGCCAGCCGCTGATGGGGCCCAATGCGAACTGGCCACCCTCGGTTGAAAATGCCATCAACTTCACACGAATCTATGCCCTGGACTGTGTCATAGGCCGGCATCTCAATCAAGCCCCTAGCCCAAAGCATGGTGTTCTCGTTGGCAGCTATCATCTGAGTCCACTCTGCAGGTAGGGCTTCTCGATGGTAACTGCATTGCCATACCAGGTGCTTCATGCTCACTGGTACTTTGCATAGAGGGCACAGCATTCTGTCACCTCCATAGTGAGCTCGCAACGATCCTTGTGTCCAGGCGTTGATGGCTGCCTTCTGCCCAGCACTTGCCTGTTTCATGACCTTGTGATAGATGCTCCAATCAGGTCTCCTCATCAAGGGGAAGGCATGTTCAAGTTCTTGGATGCGTCTGGCCCGTTGATGGTCCATCTCAATCTTGAGTTGCCGTTGGAGGTAGGGCCAGGGAAACTCCAGGTTGAGTTGCGCCGGTGGCATGATGCCTGCCTGGGGCCTGACCCAATCATTCAGGCTGCTTGCATCCCATCCCATGTCCATCAAATAGACCTGCAAGGCTGCCATTGGTCCAGTGACCACCATCCAGGGGTATGCTGCCGCCCGCAAACGTTTCCAACTCACTCTCCAGGCCGTGTGAAGCTCAGCTAATTGCTCAGGTGGCCACTTGAGGGCTAGCAGATGCATGGCCTTCAGCTGCCTTGCAACCACCGTCATCAGAGGATCTTGAAGGGTGGCATTTTGATCGTAGACCACATCTACGCTCCCTCCTTTCTGCAGTCCCCCATGACGAGCCAGCTGAGTCCGGAGTGTCTGCAGCCTCTAGCAGGCCGCTGAATGCGCTGAAGTCTTCCACACCCTGATCCGGATGGGTCTGGCCTTGATCTTGAGGTGATGAAGCTTAGCATTCCTCCTCCCAGCCTTCAAGAGCCGCTTTTGTTGGGTGCCAATTCTCCTCCTCCTGCCCCCACTCAATTCCAGTCCAAGGTCCTTCAAGAGCTCATGGACAGAGGGCTGATCTTCCCTTCTCTGGATGGTGAGCTCCCGTCTGCATTCATTCGACGAGGCCAGGTAGCCAGTCTTTGCGAGGGACATCTGTAGCCCTGCCTCCTGTAGCCCTTGTTGCAGCTCATCAAAGCCTTGCAACGCCTGTCTGCAGACTGCTTGCACACTGTCCCCAACAAAGTCAATGGAGATGTCATCGACCCACACATCTAGGCTCTGGGGAACTTGTCCTTGAAAGGGCCGAGGACTGGTGCAAGGATCAATTTGGCAACAAGTGGAGCGGCTGGGCACCCTGCCAAGATCCCTTTGCTGCAAGTGACTGGTCGAGAGGTGACCTGTTCGGCCTGGAGCAAGCGAGGCCCGCTGTAGACTTCAAAGATCATGTTCATCATCGCGGGCGGGAAATCAAGTGGCTCCCATGCTGTAAGCAGCTGCTGCAACTCGACACTGTCGTAGAAGCATTGGAGGTCCACCAGTAGCGACACCACATGTTTCCCAGTTGCTCGGCCGACCTCGCATTTCAGCAGTCTCATGAGCGCAACCTGTAGTACATGCGTGCCCGGTACACTTCTTTCCCAGGTCAGCTTCTGGCCAATGCTGCACTGCCATGGGCGGAGCTTGTCCCATCTCAATCGGCACCACGTCCGGTAAAGGACGCTCGTCAGCGAGATTGGCCTCTCGATGTCAGCCTTTTTGGGCAGCAGCAGTACCAACGTAGTACGCACTTGATCTGGCAGGCGACCATCTAATTCCCACCTCCTGTACATGTTGCAAAGATCGCTGACTCCTTCAATCGGCAGGGCTTTGAGCAATGAGTAGCTCACTCCATCTGGCCCGCTAGCCTTCTGTGGCAACCGGCGTAGCTGCTTCATGACTTCATGGGGATCCAAGTCTTCCCATTGTCTGGCTTGTACGACTCCTTCGTACCTCAGCCTTTCTCTCTCTCCACCCCCGACCGGCTTGTCCACCACCTGCCACATGCCATACCATTGATTTTCACGTAGTTGCTGTCGTTGTTGGACTGGGACATTGCGAAAAGGTCGCACATGGACAGCATCAGGGGCCTTCAAACACTTGTATATGCCGCTGTGCCCTTTCAAAGTGGCTTGGGACAACCAATTCTGACACTCTGCCGCTTGCCTGGCCATTGCAATCTTCTGTGCCTGCTCCTTGTTGCAGTCCGCTCCTTGGATCAGCAAGGTGAGTGGGGTGGCGTCACCATTGATGAGGGCATGCAGGCCTTCATGGAAATCTTCCAGCCCATGAACTTCCTGCCATCGGCTCTTCAGATCCGTGGCCTTGGCTTTCAGATGTGCCAGCATCCCAACACTCATTGCGGCCTTCTGGGCAACATGGTTCAGCAAGGAGCTCATTTGTCCCCAGTATGCCAGGTCTCCTCTTTTCCAGGGTGACAGCGGCTTGGTTTTGGCCAGGGGCTTGCTCTCTAGGGCAAGGTACCACCCCCGTCCAAACCGAGGCTGGTGCAGATGTTGGAGAGCAAATTGTTCCGCTTGGTGACAGAACTCAGCACATTGTATCTCCTTGGGTCCCACCGGCCGTCCAAGCCAGAATGTTTTTGGAGCTGCCTCAAACTGGTCCCACGTTTTCTCCATCACATCCATCTTCGGGACTGGCGCAAACTGAGTGAGCTGCTGAAGTGGTAGCCTGGGTGCCTCCTGAGCCACATGAACTTCAAGTCCAGCATGGGGCTTCCAAGGAACATCCCAGTTCACCTTGATGGTGAGGAAAGGTGCAATCTGCCTGCTGGCCACGATGTAGTCTAACTCCGCCCCATTGATCATCGTGGGCTGACCACTGCTAATGACCTCAGCTAGGTTGTGTCCTTCCCATTGAAGCGGTGGAACTTGGAAGTCCCCAATGATCATCCATGGGATGGCCAACTCCTGGACGAAAGCTGCCACCTGTCCCAGAACTGTGGCATTGGCATGTGAGTTGAGGTCCTCCCCACACTTGAGGTAGAGCGAGATGACGCACAGCTCCCATTTTTGACGTTGCACCACATTTGCTAGGAAGCCATTGCCTTCATGATCATATTGATGGAGCTTGTAGCATGTCTGCCCTTCTCTGCAACAAAAGGCATGTCCTCCACTGGTGCCACCTCTCCCAGTCTCAAAAGCTGGCTGAAACTCCGGGTGCCATCTCGCTCGGCAGAGGTCACTCATCACTGCATCAAGCTTTGTGCCTGCTACCGCCATGAACATCTGCAGGTCCTGCTGAATGAGCCACTGAAACACCTCTTTGTTCCACTGTGTGATGTTGGAGTAGATGATGAGCACTTCATCTTGCAAGATGCGTGGTCTCTTCGGTGGCGGCTCAATGGTGCCAATGTTGCGTGACCAGAAATCAGACGGCTCTGCCTTGGACGCCCACACCATGATGGTGCCTTCTTGTATTGACCTGGGGATCTCCTTGACTGCTTGCGGGCACTCCCCATCATCAACTGTCCAAACTGCCTCCCCTTCAACCAGCATGGTGACATAGTGTCCACTGATTAGCTCCGCTCCTTGATGAGCAATGACTCCCCTGAGCACAAAGGTCGACGGAGCTGCATGGCCAGAAAGGGTCATCTGTGGACACTGAAAAATGGGCGGTGTGAGGAGGCGGTGATTGTGTTTCGTCCACACCTTGTCCACCACTGAGTACCTCCCAATGTGGAAGACGATATGCTGCGCCTCTTGTCCTAGGCACTGTCCACTGGCCTCATTTGCCCACATGCTCAGGAGGGTTTCCAGCTTAACTTCAGGTCCTTCATCTGGCGGCATGCGCACATAGATGGGCACCGTTTCAAACTCATGCATTCTCCCTCCAAAGTAAGAATGCCATGTGCCACTCAGCCCAGTTTGCCCCCAAAGCTCCCACAGGTGAACCAGGAACTCCGATGCATCATGCTGCTGTTGGGGATTTTCCAGGCGGGCAATTGCCGGCTGAAGCTCCGAGGCCCAGAAGACATCTTCAATTTCATCCTGTTGAAGCAGTTGCAAACAAAGCTTCTTTGACGGGCCCCGGAAAGCTGCCCGGTCACTATGATGTGCCCCCATCCAACACCACATGCGGAGCACCGAGTTTGCATAGCATCTATTGCCCTTGTTCTGCAGGCTCAGGGTGAGGTTTGCCGCCAGCAGCTCAACTGCCGGTGGCATTTTAATGTCCCCTTCCACCGGCCGACATAGCATGAGATTGCTCTGTAGGGCAAGTCGCATTCTCAACACATGCTTCAAGGCTTCAAGCCCCCAAATTCTTGTTTCCACCTGGCCAAATTCATGATCATCATCACATTGCACCGGGAGAGCCCTGATTGCCTCAAGCGCCCTTGCTTGCAACACCACCAGTCTATCACGCAGGTGACCCGGTGTGGTTCGTTCTCCAACGTTCATGTCATCATCTTCAAGGATTTGATCATCTTGATCTTGCACAACCCGTTTGCCTCCGCCAAGAACTGCACACGGGCGGTGCTGCCACGATTGGCACTTCCGAAGTTCATCATCCGGCATCACGTGGCCTCCCTGGCTGTATGAGAGGGCCTCCAGGGTCCTGTCAGTAGCAGGTCCAAGCTTACTTGGCCGCTCTGAGCTGGTGCCCCGTCAGCCCCCTCTCCAGCCAGAGAGCTCGCAGGTCCATCTTCCTTATTGCATGCTTCCATGCCACTTCTTTCCTTCAATAGCTTTGAATCAAAGGCTCCGCACATGGTGGCATGCGTTCTTTCATTGTCCTTCATCAAGGGAGGGTCATCGTCCTTGCCTTGATCCTCATTGCCAACTTGGGCACTAGTGAAGCAAGTCCCGTGGCTAGCAGTCTCACCGAGCTGCTCTGACATAGAAGAACTCGGTGCTTGCCCACTAGTGCTTGTTGGCTCTGTCGGACCCGAGGGTCCATTTGGTGTCCTTGTCTGTCCAGCAGCACCCATGTGTCCCTTCCAAGCACTACACGCAAACTCCAGGACTCGTGAATTTTGCCTGTCAACCCCTAACTGAATGTCATGGTTGGAGAATTCGTGCGCAATGAAAGGGCTATCAAATTGCTCTTCCATGCTCACATACGGCTGCCAACCTTGAAACCAGGCATCATCCACACATGAATTTCCAAAATCCCAACATGCATGCTCACAAGGTTCAAAATTTGCCACTTCACTTGAGGCATGCAAATCCTCCCATGCATGCCAAACTTGCAAACACTCCCAATGGTTTGCTTCCATAACCCCATTTGCTGGCCGTGCATGTAGCAAAGACCCCTGCTCAACTTGCTGCATGCTTCCAGCCCTTTTCTTCTCCACTTCAAACGACATCACCCATCCTTCCTCAGGGTTACCCCAAGGACGGGATTTCAGATTTCTTGCGGCGCTTGAGCTTGTTCTCAGCCAGGTGCCGCTCCAAATCTGTCTTTTGGGCATCGGTGTACAAGATGCCAACCTGTGCCAAAGCTTTGAGCACATGGTCATTCATGTCTCCATCTACGTCCACCGTCTCATTGGTGGTGTCCTCCACATTCTCTTCCTTCAGAAGCTTGGCATACGCCTCTGATTGGGCTGTGAGTTGTTGTTGCTCCTTGTCAATCTGCTCCTGCACCGTCTTCAACTCATCAAGCAGGATCTTGTACTGATCCTTAGCACTGTCCACACGCTTCTGAAGTCCTGCCTTCTTGTTGGACAGCTGCCGAAGCTCTCCCACCGTGGCCTTGAGCTTGGTTGTCACGTCCTTGGGCTCTTGCTTGGCTGGTGTGACCAAACTCTCCACTGCTTCTTTGACTTCTTTTGGAAGGGCCTCAAGGTGGGCCTGCAGGATCACTTCCAAGGGCTGAAGTTCAGGCTCTGGCGTGTAGTCTATGCCAACCGACTGCAGGGCCTTCTTGACATCCTCATTCAGGCTGGTCCAGCTTTTCTTCAACAAATCATCCACTGGGTTTCTCACCGGCTTCTTCTCTCTGCCTCCCAGTCCTGGCGGGGCTTCCACTCTTCGTGGTCGGGCTCGACGTGGTCTTGGAGACCCATGCTGTGGCATGCGGTCTTTGGCCTGCGCAGTCGGCCAGGAAGAGCCACAATGATCACAGCACCACCTGTTGCTCGAAACACGATCTGCCCAAATCCACGATCCCTCACATCCACCACAAACATAGTAAGGCCGCCTGGACCTGACTTTGTTGAAGCCATCCCGTGAGGGTGCCACCATGTTGCAGCCAGTAGATCTCGTCAATCTCCCAACAAAGGCACTGCCACCCTTCAAATAGTACACGACCGGGTCAAAGGCCGAGGCAAAGGTCCAATGCCCTAGATCTCGGCGGTGTGTGCCGATCCAGTTTGAGCCACCTCTTACTTGAGCCACACACTTGAGCCAAAATGGCTTGAGCCAGTCGCGCGCTCTCTCTCTCTCTCTCTCTCTCTCTCCCCCGCCGTGAGCATGTAATCGGCGATGCCCTGCACCAAGAGCAGCGAGAAGACGTAGAGCACGAAAACGATCATCACCTCCGGCTCCCCTCTTCGACGGACCACGGGCGGAACGGAGCTGACCCTTCGGGGCGGCACGGAGCTTGAGGACGTACAGAAACAGAAAGAAACCCTTCAGGGCACGGACAGGAAAATCATGGAACATCCACTCCATCAACCTCTATCATCCCATCCTCAAGCTGGTGTGTGTAAGATACACCCGAAATCGTCTCGATTCACCAGTGGGTGCTTTAGATAGGTCCACCTGCAGCTTCTAAGGCCACCGCCAGGCACCAAAAGATTTGCATGAAGGATCCTGAGCGCATGGAGGGCCAGCCAGGTGAGTCATGGAGGGCCCACAGCTCGCAGCAGCCCGCAGCGGATCGGAGGTCCGACAGTGAACACCTTCACCGTTTCAAGGCCGCTGTGGGTGTTCTTTCTGGGGGCACTCTTTTGGATGGTGTTCGAACGGGCAAAAGAAGTATATGAGTCAAAGTAAAGTGCTTTAATGGGAGTTGCATCATCATTCTTCTCATTTCTCCACCAACTGCTACTTGGAAGAACCGGGAGAAGGAGAAGAAGGCTTCTCCTGTCTCCACATCTCTATGAAGCGAAGGGCCAACGGCTCCACAGCTCCAGTCAGAGCTTAGTCACTGCCGGGCTTTTGCCGTCCATCAAGTTAGTAACTCAGCTTTTTTTCGAGTCCCCCCTACAGGGGAGAAAAAAAGAAACACACCTGCATCCGTGACGGGTCAGACGGCCCTGCCCACCCACATGCCATGCCGAAAAAGTCCAAGTCACCCAGGACGCAGTCGATCATCAGGCGCCTGACAGGGTGTTGCCACTGTGCCGGCCTTCGGCTTCGAGCCCCGACTCGTCCGGCATCCGCGGCGATCCGCGTTGATCCAAGGTTGGACCCTTGGACTCCACAGGTCCTGCTCACGGGTATAGGATCCCAAGGATGGTCCGCAACAAAAAGAAGGGAACCTTGAGGAGCATCGTCCGGCCATCTGGGAGCCGCCTACTTCCGGATCGCATACCCTACCCTCCCTACCCGTGACCTCGTCGTTCCATGCAGCCACGTCACAGCTCCGTGAAGAACTTCAAGGTCCGGAAGACCCGCAGCACCTGAAGCGACGGACGAGGTCGGCTGCCAGGTCGGGACGAGGGAGACCGTCCTGCCACAGATGGTTCACATACATCACCCGGTTGCTGTTAGATCATAACTCCCTCCTCCAGCAAAGTGGACAGTGCATGACAGCAATATGGTTGTTGGAGATTTATCTATGTTCCTCTCCAACCTCAAGCGGATGAGCAGTGTTCCAACTTTCATCTGTGAAATATCGGAGGATATTAGGGGCTAGGCTGCAACACGTTCATCAATGGTCAGGGAGAGATCTCTGGACAGCACATGCCCACATGAGCACGTTAGAAGGGGTCTTTTTCTGGCCTATATCATATATCCATTCAACCCCTCAACATCCCTCAATCTATCAGTTCTGACCCCCCTCTCTCGTAAGCTAGGACTTCAGCTGAACTTCAGCGGATCTCCGTCATTCCCAAGCTACAAAAGGTTGCAAACATGCACCTGCACTGAAGTGCTCCGCCTGTAGTGTTCCCCTGTTCTCTTTCCCCTTCTGCCCAACACTCTATATCTAATATCGCCCTGTGAGTGCGGGAGAAGGCTGGGGTGTCTGATTTTTGTAGTTACAAATCGAGAACCCAAACATAGGGCCCCCCCTGTGAAGTCTACAAATTGCGACCTCACAGCCTCTCAGGCGGTCACGTGCTATTACAAAATCAACAACTGATTGATGCAAAAACTTTGCTACAGAATCACAACGCAAGCATAAAGAGCTGCAAAAATAGACTTTCAGGAGCCACATGCTTGCCAGGTGATTTTGTAGTGAAAAGGATTTTGTAGTGATTTGTGGTCTCTTTAGGGTCTTTTTAGTTCTGATTCTGTAGAGGAAAATAGTTTGTCAAGAGTTGACACGTGTGTGTTTTTTTATCTGTTTCCTTGGGTGTGTGTGTGTGTGTTGCGAGAACTTGGAAGCAGGTATATTATATGTCAGGTCTCAAATTCCGAATCTTCCAAACAATCGGAATTCGGAATTCTGATCGCTGAGTATGTGTGTTGGTTTTTCATTCTGACTTTGAGCACCAATCAGGATCATTCTTACAAAATCAAAACACACAAGAGCTGCACAAGAGCTGCACAAGAGCTGCAATGCACTCTCTCTCTCTCTCTCTCTGCAGATTTAAAACCCAAGCAGGAGCTTGTCCATTTGGAGCATTTTCCACCGCAGGCAAGATTCTTGGTGACTTTTTGATCGTTTCCAGACCCGGGTTCGATTTTGCAGAAAGTTTGAAAACCAACATCTCTACAAAATCCACCCTGTTTTGACACCGGGGGTCAAGGAGGATTCTGTATTATTTATGGAAGAACTAGCCTACCCCCTCTCACCTGCAAGATGTTGTATCGACCAGCTGGGGGGATGGTCGCAGCTGTGCTTCTGCCGGGTCGCTGGACCCTGGGACGGCCGACGACTCGTGGGACAGGAGCATTAACCATGACTTGGGAGAAGTCATACCCGCAGCTCTTCCTTACGACTTGGCATCTTGATCAACCAAAGAAAACCTTAAAACATGACTAACAGAGTGTTCATCATACTTGGTATTGAGACATCAAATGACTGATCAAGAGACCAAAGAGTTGGCATCCAACACCCAGGACAAGTCACCTCGTCCTATCGGTCGAGCGTAAACATGACCAAACCTCGTCCCGTCGGGTCTGCTCCCCTCCGGGCTTGGACCAGTCCCTTGAACCGTCCGTGGCCTTCGCCAGCTTGGTGAGTCTCAGTAGCCGCAGGAAGCCTCGGTGCGACACATGGTGGCGGAGCAGCCTGGACCGGCCGGGAAAGCAAGGCAGGTGGCTTTAATGAGCAGTCGCTCCTGGCCAACCACTGATATCCAGAGACTGGCCCCATCCACTCTCCTGTTTCCAGGGCTTTGATGTCCATCTATTTCCCACTTGAGTGCTCGGGGCAAGCCGAAAGCCCTCGCAGTAGTGTGGGACTGCCGCAACCCCTCAACCCTCAACGCCTCCAACACGCGGTGGATCTCGAGTGGGCCGGCGGGCTGGGACTGACCTTACCTGGTTGAGGATTCCCTCAAAAAAATTAATGAAACCTCAGCTGCGCCTTCACATACTCAACTCTGAGCTCTTTGGGTGACCCCAAGAACGCCGCCAAGGTCACCCAGCTCGTTCCATGGCCCAGCTCGTTGCTGCGGTCCAGCGGCCCACGTTGAGGCTGGCCGAGCTCTCTTCGGAGGTCTGGTTGAGGACCAGATAGCGACTGATCGCCACTTCGCTGAAGGAGAAGACCACCAAAAAGAAGTCGAAAATGTTCCAACCTGGGGCAGCTCAAAAGATCCAAAGGTGGATCAATCCAAGCCTTGGGCTGGTTCTAGCTGTTTGAAGCCTTAAGCTGATGCAAAAAGGGATCCGAACAATATCACATGCGCGGTGGCGTTCGTTCGACTTACCGGGGCTCATGTAGTCAAACAAAGATCCCGGAACGGTCGGTGTGGTCGAACTGCCCGTCGGCTCCGGATAGGACGACGGGTGGATTCGATCCCAAAGGTGTGAACTCCTGGCTGGCTGGCTGGCTGTGTGTGTGGCGTCCGAGACGTCTCGGAGAACGATGCAGCTGGAGTGTACATGACTGAGACTGGACAGACTAATGATAAATATATATATATACAATATAGCTATATATGAAATTAATTGAAATTATATGAATGTGTGTAACATCGTATAACTATGCCTGGGTGCGTTATATATAATATGACGATATACCCAATGCTTTGCGATTTGGCACTCCCACAGGCACCACAGCCACCCAAAAGCAGGGAGCTTAAGCATTAGGTGTGGCCGCCAGACATTCGCCCAGGCACGCCACTCCTCGTTCACGAAGAAATACCTGGAGAACTGAAGCTTTCAGTGACCTTTTGAAAAAAGGAGTTTAAGTGGCCAAACCACCCGGGATCTCAAAGGGTCACTTTGAAGAATCAGGTGACTTGCAGTCAATTCTGCAGCCACCACACCTCCGCGAAAGTCTTACAGAGTTCTCGGGTGACAAGATCAGAAAATTGGAGCGATGCCGGTACCTCCACATAGTATTCTATTGGCATAACGACATCTATAATATGTACCTATATACCAGCAATAGGCTGTGCTCGATTGCTCGTGATCCTCTATCACCACCAGAGTCCCGAATGTCAATCCCCTTCCGGTCACCCCTCCTCGCAACGGTCGGTGTCCCGTCCGGTCAAACCGACCGGGCCATCGAACTCGACACGTCACGAGTCGCGTCCGTGGGTTTCCCTCCGCCCGTCGCGTCCAGGTCGCAGGCGATGGACCAAGATCTTGAGCATCAACTCCACACCCTCAAAAGGCTGGCGACGATGGACCCCAAACACGTGGCGCGAACACACGGAAAAGACGCATACACATGGCGCGTCTGCGCGTAAATGGCAGGCAGGCGAAAACACATGCAGGTGAGGAGTTGGGGGCATTAAGGCACGCAGATTGCAGGGTTGTAGAGCACATGAAAAGCTGTTCCACCAGCACAAATGTTGGAATCAAGAAGTTTCTTGGACCCTGAGAAACCCCTAGGCCCCGTTGCCCACCCTAAACAAAGGAGAGAGCTCACAGTGGAAAAAAGATGGAGGCTACTCTACTGGCATATCTGAGGGAAAGCGGATGACAAAAATAAGCAAAAAGAACCTGGTGGACCAGCTGTAAATAAAGGACAAATACATCCGCACAACCCTCCCGGCAAAAGTGTATCCTCCCAAGTTCTCACAATATAAGTATATATATATAACATTATATAACTGCAGGCAGCAGGAAAATGTCCCCAAGCCAGGACCCATGAAACAAACAACGCCTCTAGTCGTTGGGATTTCACTCCCGAACCTCCGCACCACTGAGAAACCTCCCAACAAACCCCAAGAGTCCAGGAGCCAATCACTTTAGGATAACCTGTGATTCTCCGAATGGATCCTAATGGAAACATTGCCGACGACTGACGATACTGACATCTTGCCATTGGGTCCGCATTCATTTCACATATTTCACACACTCAACGCATCATCGAGAGCCCTGACTCAGCGCCCTTCCAAGACCAAAAGAAGGGTCCATCACTCCCAGCCAAGGCGCATAGAAAATGGTCAGAGAGAGTTCCAACACCTCCTGAGCTCGTGGATGGTTGAAGGGTCTGAGATTAGCTCTTCCAAAAAGGTGAAGATCATCTATAGGAGCCTCTTTTCAGAGCCAAGTCTTGGAATCTTGGAGTTGCAAGAGAAGGGTCTTGGAATCTTGGAGTTGCAAGAGAGGCCGTGCCTGCAGGCCTGCAGGCTGATCATCTCATTTCTGAAGAACACGTGCAAAAACTCACGATGGCCCGAAGTCTAGGCCAAAACCAACTGGCATTGGCAACGTAGGTGAACCCAACCATGCCTAACCAAGGTTGGCCATAGAACTTCCAAAATCTGTCTCAAACTGTTGCGAGGATCAACCATGCAGCTTGCTTCACGTTTCTTCGTGTGTCTTCTCCTCCCTGGCGCCGCACTGCTTCCGCTATGCCGACAGAAAGACGCGCGTGCTGCTTCCCCCGCATCGCTGGTCATCACCGAGTCATCACCGGTTTGGGGGCAGCCTACTACCGCTGACTCCGCCGGCGACTACCGCCAAGGAGCCCAGTCTTCGGGTATGGACTCGCCCAAGTGCTGGATCTCATAATCTGAGACGATGATGATCAGGATGGCCTCGAGGTCTCCAGAAGCCCCCCACCAATCACACACAGCACATGGTAACTGGCGCAACAGCCATGTTTCATGGTTCACACGCTGCCTGTTGACATCTGTTGACACCCTCATCAGCTCGCGTGTTTGCACTGGGTGTCCCGCATTGGCCAAGATCACTAAGAGACACAAGGTGGAGAACTTGTGCCCATCCACCTGGGACGAGTTCGTACCGATGAAGGCCGCTCCTCCGCAAGCAGCCTCTCTTCACCGTTGAAGATCTACCATCTACAAGAGGCATGGGGGAATTCGATGGGAACGCTTGCTCCTCCAACAGCAAGTCAAACATGCGAACCCGTGCAAGTAATGATGATGAACACCCCCTTCTTCGGTCGACCGGAGCTTCAGATTGATCATGCATGTGAGGTCGACCGGAGCTCCGCAGGCTGCACATGGGCTGTGCATCATATGGTCTGTTCACCCGTGCGACCCAAACAGCTGAGGGCATCCACTCCGACTCACGTTCCATGGAAGTGGATGGCATGGCTCGTTGTTTGGCCAGATCAACCATGAAGAAAAGCAAAACAGAAAAGTCTTAGAAGCAGCCATTGCCTATCCTTCCATATCCTTCCATTCTAGTAAGTTAGATCTCCGGGTCTCCGGGCGATACGTGAGAAGCACGAAGTTCTTTCAGGTTCCTGGCGCAGAGGTTGGACGTGGAGCTCGAGCCAAAGCCGACACCAACCGGACATGGCTACGCAAAAAAAGACGGAAACACCACATGGACCTCCAATGAGCTACACAGTTCTGGAGGAGAACAGCATCCCAAGAGTCCATTTTTCCAGACCTCACTCATTTTTCGTGATCGACGCGATGATCCAATGGGCTTTTGGTTGGTGTTGCTTGGGAGGGGGCTGGACCGGGAATGTGGAGTTTAGGACCTGCTCCAACTCCTCCTCCATCGGACACCCCGTTCTCTGCCCCTCGTGGATCGGCCGATCTCCGCTCGCGTCCCAACTCGGGGGTCTCTACCAGGACCTTCCAACGGGAGGTTTTAGAAGCCTAACAGGTGGCTTCTGGGCACCTGTTCTCACCAGGAAACACCTGTTGGAGGGTCCAGCGGTATAGGTGACGCCCCCCGGCCCCCCGGCCTTCAACTCGGAGAACCAGCTCGAGATGGCCACCTCGCGTTTGCAGAAGAGGCATCCATCCGCCCGGGGGCCCATCCGCCCGAAAAACGGATCCGATCCCAGGGAGTCTGGTTGGGGGCCCGTCCTCCCAACAAGGGGGGCCCACGGCCAATCAGGTGGACCATGGGCCTCCCGCAAGATGCCCACGGTAGCACGAGGCCGCTCGCCACGTGTTCTTCGCCGCACACCGAGCTTCCGGACGAGTTTCTCCAGGAAACAGCGCAAGAAGGGTATCTTCGAGTCCTCACCGAAGCGACGGAGACTCGTCACACCGGTCGCCACGCAAAGCGCGACGAAAAAAACGGTCGCGAGCGAAAAGGTCAGGTCCTGGACCCCGATCGGGGTCGAGAGCTGATCCAACACCAACAGATCAGCCCAAATACAGTCGTTTCAGAGTAGATGGTACTGGCACGCGAAGATGGTTACAGTATATGGGGGATCCATTGAAACATAAACTACCGTTTAGAGTTCTCTCTGAAACCACTGTAACGGGGGGCGCACTCCCGGGCTCATGAGTTCACCAGGAAGCTGCACCTTGGATGACTTCTTCACCCATCGCTGGGAGGATATCTCGAGGACATGATTGGTTGAAGGACGTGCATGGCATGCTTTGCACGATCCATTGATCCCGGATCGATCGAAAACGCTGACCCTTTTGCAGAACGTTTGCATCGGGCCTCCGGAGTGCACACGTGGGGGAGATGTGGGAGCTTCCAAAGCACCACACTGGTGAAACCCAAGCCACGTGGGAGTGGCACCTCGTGTTGCTTCAATTCTCCCACTGCCATCCGCCGACTTCTTTCGCCACCATCCGTCACTCCGCCCTACTCCGCCGCACCCCTTCCCTCGGCCCACCTGTGCTTTGGCCATCAACACCGAGGAGGACAAGGTCCGCTTCTTCAGAACTGGTCACCGAGCATCCGCCGCAAGACCGGTGCATGGTGCGACGAAACAACGGAACTGGCAGGCCCAGGCTCCCAGCATTCCACCGCCATTCCACCAGTACCGGGCACCTTGACTTCTTACAGGTCGCCAACAACCCTCTATCAAAGGAGACCGGCCGTATGGAATTGGATGCGGCAAAGAATCCTCTCCCAAAGAATGACGGGACACTTTTCGGGAACCGATGGTGGGCACCTCCAAACCCGACGGAAAAAAGCCGATCCGAAGTGCAGTGCAATATCTTGAAGATGAATTTTCCTCTAACTACACCGGAGCACTTGGAGCTTCGTGCCCATCTTGACACCGGTCCACCAAACAGGTCTTTACCTCGGCAACAGGTCTTTACCTCGGCAACAGGTCTTTACCTCGGCAAGGGTTAGACAATGGGTTAGAGTGGTCCGACTTTGGCACTCTAGGAACAACTGGTCTACTTTGTGGTGAGTGCTGGAGATCCACACGACCGTGCTGAAACGGCACACAAGACGGTTGAACTGAAGCACACCTGCGTGCATGGACGCAGTGGATGGAGAAGATGAGAAGACCGCCTCAGCAGAGCAAAATGTCTGGACGAGTACACGTGCGGGACCCCAATCCCGGTGGACAATGAGCATAGATTGCACCCGGAGTGACATGCAAATTGATTTAGACTTCACGACGTCCAAGAGACTCTGTGACTTCAGCGGCCCAGGCGGCTGGCCGTTGGCCAAGTGTCCCCAATGCCCACCAGAAACCCCCGGGCCCCCCGGCTCCGGGTGCCAAAATCGACTCCCGCTTCGAGCGCTTCAGCTTGGGGCGGGCGCGGATCTGGCGAGGGAGCGAGGTCGAGGCACCATCTTCTGGGCGGTCCAGAAGCGTTGCCCGAGGTTCGAAGGGTCCGGGATGGATCTGCCCTCCGAGATATCCGAACACCCATCGGAATCTGCAGATGTTTCTGGGTGAGTTGGTATTCTATCCACTTCAGACTCCGGCTTGGTAACTGCTGCAACGCACCATCAAATCATATCAAATCCATCACGGATGAAAGAAGAACTTGGAACATTTTGGTCCGTCTTCTTCTGGGAACTTCTGGTTGGTCTCACGGCATGTTGGAGCCGGCCAAATCCATCCGAGCTCGGTTCCATCCCGTCTATCCGGCCCATCATCTGCCCATCTCCAGCCTCAGGCCGCCCACTTGGCCAGGGCCAGCTGGGCGCGTCCGCCTCCCCTGAGGGTGGGGGTAGGTCAGGGGGAGGCACGTGGACGTGCCAGGGTGGAGGCACGTCAAGGCATGAAGTCCTGGATGCGAATTTGGGGTGGTCTTTTGGGGGAGACGACGACGCTTTGGGATGAAGATGGATGAAGTGTCCCTCCAAAAGATTGGATGGATGATTATGGATGTGTGAGGTGAGATGACATGATTTCACTCCAACCCTCTAACCAGCCTTCCGAGTCTGCTAGCTGCACTAGCCTTCCATGTCCCCAGGCCCAAGCTACGAGGCTTCGGGATCTTCATGGGACCCATCGCTCACAGGTGGCAGGACATGCGCCCCCCCCACACACACACACACACCAAGCAAATTGCTAAGAGCGCTGGCGCACTCCAGGAGGCGAAAGCGAAAAGCTCAATGCCTTATCAGCTGTTGCCCAAAACGCCGACGGACGTGCCCATAGAAGGCGCCTTCGTCCTCTTCGCCGTCGATCTTTGGATAAAAGTTCTCATCATCATCCTCCTCGCGCGGAGCCGAGTGGCATGGTTTCCTCGTGAGATGGCTCTATAGATTGGGCGGGCCACGCCCCGTCAACCCTAAAAACAGGCCTATCCAGACATCGCAGTATCGTTGACATGTTGAGTCTCGGAAGCCACGGTCCCATGATTTTCCCTTACATGGCTCGTGTTCCAAATCCTCAAGGTCCAACAAGTGGTCATACGCTCTGTGTGTGTGTGTGACGTGTTGAGTCTTGGGGCAGCGTCCTTCCAACACCCCAGCGCCGCGCTCCAGCTTCGACCCCCGCCCCGCGCGCGCGGAAAAAGAACATCTGCGGGCCTGCACGGCTCCCAAGACCTCGCCCGGGTCCTGACCGAAAGCCGCCCGGGCGGGGGTAGACGGGTCGATGGAGGTTGAACTGGTGGGTCTCAAGGCTCCAGACACACTCAGGTCTCCAGGTCTCCAAACGTCTTCGGGAGGCCCATTCCAGGCGGTCCATGAGTGTCCATGCAGGTCTCTGTTCGACAGATCTTGATGATCCATGGGGAGGTTGCTGCTGGAAGGTTGGATGGCGCTGGTGCACCTGTAGTTGTCGCAGTCATTTCTGTTCGTTTGAGAGCGCACTGGGCTGTGACAGCCTTCAGTCAAGAAGGCGATAGTTGTTTTCAAATCGTTCAAGGGCAACTGCGCCAGGTCAAGCAAACCTCACACCTGAACTCAAAGTCCCTTCTCAGATGTGGATTTGCCCATCTTGGCCCCATTTCTCCTTCCTTTGCTCGGTGGCGATCCTCTTCGCCTCTCCCACTCCCCCGTTGGCCTTCGATCCGCTGGCCCGCAACGGCTCGGCCTGGCCGGCGCTCCGCGCTTGGGTCTGGGGTCATGGCACCCGGGTCGAATGTCGAACTCGGCACGGACGGGGCGGACGGTGACCCATGGTGACCCCCACAGACACGAAGGACTCACCAAGGAGCCGACCAATTTGGGTCACTTTGGGGTCACGCAAGGTAGCAAACAGTGCCAACATGATGAGTACATCGCGTAGATGAGGCCTCCGAAATGGCTCCGGCCACATATACCTGTTCTTGGGCGATCTGGTAGTAATTTGCGCACGCCTCCTATCAGGTTCCTGCTGTAGGGGGCGATTTCCAGCACGCCACACGTTCAACACCACCCACCCTCACCTCGAGCACTGGAGGTTCCAATGCGTCCGACAGGCTCTGCAGCAAAGCTTCCTGCGGTGACAATTTGTGGCACCGCATGGGTGAACCTCATCCTGCAGTCCCGCAGCCAAAAATAGAAGACTATGTTCGGGGGGGCTTGAAAGGTGTCAAAATCCTATTCCCAGCTCAATTTTGGGCACAATCTCCAGTTCTAAGTTCGAAGACTGGAGCCCTCACCAGCCATCAAGATGCTTCTGCAGCGTCCTGTCGCGCGAGGACCTCCTGCAAGACTTGGTGCTGGCGGCCCATCGTCCTGACACACGAGGACGTTGGAGTAATGAAACTAATTACTTGGTCCGCAAAAACAGGTGGCAAAACATATGAGTTGGAAAAGTGTAAACAGGTTGTGGGGGACAAGCACGAGGATGCAAATGCCCAAAGATCCAAAGACCTTTTCAGGGGTTGCCTGTCACTGTGCCTGTGCGCACGTGAGCGCACGCCATTGGCCACTCCGCTTAGAATGATTGGTTTTAAACATGCCCAAGTTCTATATGGCGACAGGTTTCGAAACCCTTGAGGCTTGGTGAAATGCCCCCCACTTACCGGCGACGTCAACTAAACCCATCCCAGATTGACCCCCTTGTCATTTTGCAGAGTCGCCCAACCGCCCCCCCGGCCTTGCAATCTCCGCAGGGTCCGACATGCCCCCCTGCAGCGAAGTTGGAGCACATGCACGGCGACCTCTAACTGTAACTATCTCTAGCTCCAAAAAGTCCTGCTCAAGGCCGGTCAAAGGTTTCCTCTCGCATCTCGCGTCTCGCTTGCCTGGGCCCAGTCCCGCCAAGACGCCTGGCCATGGCGATTCATTGAAGAACGGAGGCAACTACCAAAACCGGCGCCGGTTTGCAAGCAAATTTTATCGAAAAAAGCAACTGATTAATGTCTACCTTATAAATGGCCCGTGAATCATACTTGCTTTCCAAAAGAAACATAAAACATTGACCCCAAATAATATTTACTGTTTCTGGACCCTGGTTTTCAGCTGCTTCCAGACCTTGGTTCTAGGATTTCAGCTCCTCCAACCTTTTTGTTTCAAACCTTTCTGGATTTCCGATTTGGTTGCTGCACGTTCGTTTTAATTGTTTGATTTGGGGATTGCCATTTGCAACCTGCAATCAACCCAGAAAAAAAACGACCCGTCACAAGCAGCCCAAAGCTTCAATTACTCTAGGCCTCAAATGATACTAAACAACCCTGGTTGGTTCTTGCAGTTGTTTTTGTAAAGAATTTCTTGATGTTTTTTGGTTGAAAGAATTGGCCTGACGGCCATGGTTGTTTACTGTCAACCTTAACGTTTCAATCCTGTTTGGATTTCTGACTTGGCCGCTGCGTTGTCCTTTCTAGTTGTTTTGTTTGGGCTTTGCCATTTGTAACCTGAAATCAAACCCCAAAGACTACCCCTCACAAGCAGCCCAAACCTTCAACTGCTCCAGACAATACTAAACAAGCCCTGGTTGGTTCTTTTGGCGGTTTCCTTTACAAATCCCTTAGGTTCACGCGCATTCCGCATTTCCCTTTCGTCCGTGTTTTTGTTATATGTTCCCTTTTTGTTGTCCTTTTCTTGCCTCTTATGCCAACGTCAACTCCAAAGTCTTGTGGGTTGAACAATTGCTGGGCCTGCACCTGACCACGGTGGCAACAAAGGTTTGCTATTAGGAGGCCGACATTACCTTAGGGTTCGAACATCCAAAGATAGCCTTCACCGAACAACCATAGCTGCGACTCATAAGTTGAACTCAGGGAATGATCCTCTAGCACACGGTCGGCCGCCAGGCCAAGAGCAGGGGGCCCAGATCCAAGAAGGTGCCCACTGTCTTTTCCGTGTGGCACCCAAGTCAGTGAGGGTGCTCAAGTGAAGTGGGACAAAGGGATTCGAGCAACAAATCAAGGGTTAACCGATGGGGCACAGTGGCTCGCCTGGCCCTTCTTGGATCTGGGCGAGTTCATGGCCCACGCACTTGGTCATTCCACCGCTTGTCGCTCTCTCTGGCTCATGGGTACCAAAAAAGGGCCCTTGAGTCACACCAAGGCAACGCAGTAAAAGAAGTTACATGCTTCACCTTCCGTGTTTTTTCCCTCGTGACTTCGAGCGCACTTGGGAGTAGACCTGGTTTTGACTACAGTTCACATGCGTAGTGGAGCCAGCGGCGCGCCCTTGGGAGCCATGTCACATGAGACCTCGACATCGAGGCAACTGGATTCCGCTTCCGACAAGTTCTTCGTCCCCAGATTTGACAATACATTCTGAGGTGTAGAAGCTTCGGCAATCCTGAGGATATTACCCAGTTGTTGCAATGGTTGGTCAAAGGCAGATGCCATTCAGTCCCTCATCATCACATGCCTCTTCACAGTCCCATGGAGGAGGCAAGAAGGGCAAAAGTAAGAAGGGAAAGAGTGGAAAAGGCAGTTCATCGTCATCTACGAGTGGCAAGGGGTCCGACCGGCAAAGCACGGGCCAAAGACGCACTTCCAGCAATGGAGACCAGAACATGTTTGAGGTGCGGCAAGGTTGGACACTTGGCAGCAAACTGCCGCAGCAAGGCATCATCTCCGGCGAAGAAGCGTGTACTGGAAGATGGAGATCCACTTGTGGCAGGGATGGTCATGACCTCAGAGATGCAGTTTCACGACATTGAGGAGGAGGAGTTCCATGAAGTTGAAGAGGCATACGCCCATGGTGAACAGTTGGCGAGCGCAGGAGGCTGCCTTACCAACAAGCCTGACGTTGCGATCCAGGACCAAGGTGCATCAAGTTTTCTGCTTGGCACTGAATACCTCCTCAGGTACATTCGTTGGCTGCACTTTAAGGGCTTTGACCTCAACCGCCTGGAGTTCAAACGTTGTGACAAACTGTTCAGGTTTGGAGGAGATGCCGAGGGTTGTTTCCATTGGATGGTGTCCCTTCCAGTGTTGATTGAAGGGGTTGCCGGACGTATTCAGGCATACATCATCTTCGGTGCAACTCCCATGCTGCTAGGCTACTGCTAGGTCGTCCGATTCTGGAACGGTTGCAAGCTGTTGTGGACTTCGGAGGCAGTCGCATGAAGATCATGGGAGGACCCTGGAAGGACGTTGAGCGGGGAAAGCAAGGCGGCATGTTGTTACTACTATGTCAACAGTTGCATGACCCTTCATAGTTGAGCAATCCAACCTTTGACCTTCGCAGCGAGGATGACCACGACAAGAAGGAGACCTTTCAGAGCCTTCTGGAGGCCATGAGAGCACATGATCGCTTCGAGGAGATGGCCACAGAAATTGAAGGCTTAGCGGAGGAGGCTGAGCATGAGAGAAAGGAGGAAGGAGTTGAGAAGACCATTGAGAGCTTGGAGAAGCTCTTCGTGGCAAGAAGAAGCAGCGGCAGATGCTCAATGAGGCTCGAACCATGGCCAGGCGCAAGGAGATCATCTGGGAAGTCTACGCAGCACGTGGACGCTTTACAGAAGAATGCCAGAAGAGAGGAGCAGAAGTGGGGCGGTCCGGACTGGCAGACTTCAGCAAAGCAAAACACCGCAAGGCATTGCTGGAGCTACAGGTGGGGGAGGAACCAAATGAGATCTTCATGTCACCAAAGTGCACCCTATTGTCGACAATGCAAAGCATCAACATGAAGACGGAGGAAGATTGTATCGAGCTGCAGGAGAAACGGTGGTTGGACCATGAAGTGCATTTGAAGTTTTGCCGGCGGCTCTACCTGAATCAGGTTCGAGGCGGTCGACATGGGCACATTGAGCATCCCAGCAAACCCAAAGCATGGCAAACACCAGCATTCCAAAGTCTTCCAGGAATGCGAGCCACCTTTGACCAGTGTGCTTGTGGAGCCATCACATGGACTGATGACCGTACATGGGCACCAATTCAGAAGGCCACATCCATTCAAACCACATGGCACAAGCCATGGTGTGGCATGGCCCGCAGTGCAGCCTTTGCTCACCAACATCAATCCCTTGAACGAGGACATCGTTGCAGAGCAGCAGAAGATTATCCAGAGATCTTGGCACAGCACCTGGCAGAAGCGGCAATGGCAGATGAAGGTTTGCATGAGCAAGCATGTGCTGTCGGACAGGAGGAGCAGTTGACCGGCGTGTTGAGGAAGCTTGGCACCAAGCATGGCAGTGAGGCAGTTCGCATTGCCTACCGTTTGCACCGGAACCTTGGGCATCCAAGATCAGACATCCTCCTGGAGTCCCCTGGAGCTGCTCAAGGACAAGCCAGTTGATCCCAAGGTACTCAACGCCATCCGTGACTTGGATTGTCCATACTGCAACACCTTTGCAGTGAAGGAAGTCGTCAGCACCAGCTCACATTGATAGCTTGACCTGGACACACTAAAGGATGTTCAGGACAAGAAGAAGAAAAACAAGAAGATTGGAATCTTCGTCATGGTTGATGAGGCCACCAGATACACGATGGCCGTACCATTCCAGACGAGCAGTCACAAAGTTTGCAGAAGGCCTTTGAGAGGAGTTGGGTGAGATTGCATGGCCCACCATGCAAGTTGTTCGTCGATGAGCATCCAGCATTTGGGTCAAACAGCACGATGAGTTGGGCAGAAGAGCATGGCATTGAGTTGAGGATCAGTCCGGGACAATCACACACCAGAACCAGCTTGGTTGAGAGAAGGCATCAGTTGTTAAGAAAGTGTACAAGTGTTCATGAAGGAGCACAGCTTTCGAGATCTTGCAGGCCTACATGATGCCCTGAACTGGGTAGTGCCAGCCCTCAACGACCACACCTTCGTGAATGGCTTCACACCAACACAGCTTGCCTTGGGTCGTCAGCCGAACTTGCCAGGTTTGTTGTCCGATGGGAAGACCACCATCAATCAACTTCACATGGGAGAGCAAGAACGGCTTCATCGACGTCTCCAGTTGAAGTTCTCGGCTCAGGCAGCTTGTGCAAAAGCAGAAGTCGATGTGAAGCTCAGAAGGGCCTTGTTGAGGAAATTCTCCGGCAAGGATGAAGAACTGTCCTAGAGAGCGCTGTTTATACTGGAGAGAAGCACCGGACAAGCAACACACAATCCAATGGCGAGGCCCAGCAGTAGTGTTGGCAGTTGAGAAAAATCCTGACAATGGTACAGTTTCAGTGTACTGGTTGGCACATGGCACTTCCCTACTTCGAGCAGGACGTCAGCACGAGAGAAAAATGCCAAAGGAAGAAGGTCTGTTGGACGCTGAGAAGAGAGTGAATGAGTCATTGGCGGGTCTCTGGCAGAGATGAGTGGTGAGAGTGCTCGACTTGAACAAGATCAATAGGAGATCCCTCAATGAGATCGATCCGGAAGATGAGGAATTGTTGGACCCAGTCTTGAGGCAGCAGCATCATGAGGAAGCAAACGAAACATCAGCACCAGGTGGCACACCAGGGGAGGAATGGAGGTCCTTCCACCGCCGCCCGACGGATCAAGCATGCAGCAGCCACAAGCAACAGCAACAACAGGTGTGGAAGAACCCAATGCCCGAGCAGATGGTCCAATGGACATTGAGGATCCTCTGGCGCGTGAACGAGCAATACACAATGAGGCATTGATGAGGCAATTCCCGACACCTGCAGTTGCACGTCCAACACCAACACCCATTGAGACAAATACCATGGTGGCACCAGAAACACTCCCACCAGTGCCGGACGATGATGATCTTTTGTCACCAACAATACCACCAGCGTCAGTAGCCCCAACAGAACCTGAACCAGACCTCGAGATCGATCCCATCTTCAAGACACCGGTTGCATCCAAGACATTCGAACAAAAACGGGCTCGGCTGAAGCAGGAGGCCCTGTGGATGCGGACCACCTCCCTCCGGTGACGGCTCGAGTCGAGGATCCAGTCAGCCGATCAGGTTGGCAATACTACATGAACGACCAACACCAGGACACGATGACACACAGCACCACGACAAGAAGCAACAAACAGATGAAAGCCTCGAAGAAGCATTTCATGTGGAGCTGACCTCAACAACAGAGGACAAGCATTGTGTCAAGAGTCTAAATGAGTTGGCAGAAGGCTGGACTTACAATGAGAAAACACAAGAGTTCACCCTTGGACCAACAAGAGATTTTTGGGGCTACGAGGACGGCTTCTTGGTCGGACATCATTGCTGGTCGCGAGAACACACCTTTCAGTTGTCCGAAGCTGATCTGCCAGAAGGGATTCACCAGTCAGACTTGCAAACAGAACAGGGCTTGACAATGACTCATGGACAAAGGAAGATCTACATCAACAAGGAAGAGTCCTACATTGTTGGCAAGGAACCCTGGTTTGGCAAGACATTGTTCCCTTTGACAAAGCAGGGGCAGGCAGCTGAAGCAAGGCGAATGCCTTATGCAGGTGGTCTGGCAACCAAGACGAAAGGCAAGTGGACGCTCAGAGGCAGGGGCCATACTTGGGCAGGTCGGAGTGGCAAGGACAAGGAGGGCCAGAGATGATTTGAGATGGCATTCATACATGAAAAGAAAGCTGAGTTGTCATCCATTTTCGAGAATGGAGTGTGGGAGATTGAGACCAACCCTGGGAACATTGACCACAGCCGCGTCATGAAAGCAAGATTTGTTCTGAAGTGGGTAACAAACAATGACGGGAATCCAAAGGCGAAAGCAAGACTTGTGTTGCAGGGTTTCTCGGACCCATATTTGCTGCAAGGATCGCTTGAAACCAGCAGTCCTACATTGTCCCGTGCCAGTAGACAAACCTTGTTGGCAATAGCATGCAATGAATAATGGTCAAAGTTTACAGCAGATGTCAGCACAGCATTTTTGCAGGGAGACAAGCAGTCGCGGCTCCTATGGTGCAAAATTCCAACTGATGCATGCAGGTTGATGGGTTGTCCAGCAGGCACATTCATGAAGTTGTTGAAACCGTTGTACGGACAGGCTGACGCCCCTCGTGCTTGGTTTCAAGTGGCAAAGAGAAGGCTATGCAGTGTTGGGTACACAGTTCATGCATTGGACCACCGTTTGTTTCGTCTGCACAATCAATCCGGTCACTTGGTGTCATTGATTGGACTACATGTCGACGACATGATTGGAGCAGGTGACGAGACAAATGAAGTGCACCTCAAAGCAAGGGCAGCCTTAAAACAGGAGCTCAATTTCAAACATTGGACCACGGATGACAAAGGTGAGTTGGAGTTTTGCGGAAACAAGTTGACTGCATGTGAGAATGGTGCATGGAGGCTGCAACAAGAGGAATACATGAAGAAAATCAAACCTATGACAACCACAGCAAAGAAACAAGAAGATGAGCTGCGCCCAAGTGAAGTTAGTTCATTGCGTGGGTTGTTGGGTGCATTGCAGTGGGCATCAACACAGACGTCACCGCACATGTCAACGAGCATTTCAATGTGGCAACGTTAGTGGAGCAACACAGTCAGTCGGAGAGGCAGCAAACAAGGCACTCCGTTTTGGCAAGAACAATGCAGACATTGGCCTGACGTTTCAACGGTTGGAACCATTGGAAGATTTGTGTTTTTTGTCCATCTCGGACGCTGCTTGGGGTGTTCGATCACATCATTTGACCTGACCCACAAGAAGGCACTTCAAGGTGAACCTGATCAACCCCATGTTGTTATTGACTGGAGGTCGTTCAAGTTCAAGCTATCACGTGTATCACACAGTTCATGGAATGCTGAAGCACAGTCATGTTCGGCAGCAGTTGACTCGCTTGAGTGCGTGCATATTTTCTGGCAGGCATGTCATCAAGAGAACTTCGAGCTGGAAGAGGTGAAGAACAATCGACGAGAACAAGACCATTTCTTGCCCAGTGCCTTGATCATAGATGCCGAGGCATTGTATGATGACATCAAGGCCGAAGTCCCTCAGATCAGATCAATGGTGACCAGAGAACCCAGATAGAATGCATGATAGTGCTTCGCGGCCCAGCGCGCCTTCTCGGCGTCGCTCCTGACCCTCCCTGCTGGGTCCGGGGCGCACGTCGACGGCGAGGCTCCGCTCCTCAGCGACCTCGTTGTCCCCCCTGGCGAGGGCGCGCGCGCCAGCCGCCTGGGACCGCGCCTCTAAGGCCGCGCCCGTACCGCTGCTCGTCTCACCGGCCCGACCACAAAGATGGTCCCTCGTATCCTGCCAGCCCGCGGGAGAAGCAAAAAAGGAAATGCAAAACCTCAAGACCCAGCTACGTTGGGTATCGTCAGAAGTTCAGCTGTCCGATGGTTTGACCAAGATTCAGGCAAGGCAGTTGCTGGCGGATAGATTGAGGACCCAGAGAATTTCATTGATGGCAGATAGCACATTCCAAGCAGCAAAACGAAAGACCATGCAAGAAAGGAGAGACAATGCTCGAAGGAATGCAATCAGTGTGAAGAAAAGCCTGACCATATGATCGTTGCAAATGAGCTCAAAGATTTCATCAAAAGAAGCAATGAGGCCATGGACAGTCCGAGGGGAGAATGAGAGACTCGAGAATAGATGCATAAAGTTCGAACACAAAATTCGAGTGAGAGACGAAAGGCAAGACCAAACAGATGAGAGGCTAGATGAGCGGCAGCGCATGATCACACAGCTGGAACAAGATCCGGCAAATGTGGCACAGCAAGCGGCATACCTCAGCAACCACATAGGAGGATTGCCGAAACAAGTCTCAGTGACAAAACAAGGGAGGCAATAAAGTCAAGTTACATGTTCAGTTTCACGTTCCGTGTTTTTCCCCTCGTGACTTCGAGCGCACTTGGGATTAGACCTGGTTTTGACTACCTGATCTTTCACACCTTGTGTTTCTTAGAACCCCTTCGGCGGCTCACATCTTTGGTTACTAGGTCCAAGACTCGCTGAAGCCCTTCAACCTTTGGAGTCACCATGACCACTGTTGATGATTGACAGGTTTGGATGTGTGAGGGAGGCCCAAGTCCAAGAAAGGTCCCTCTGTCTCTGCCCTGTGGCACCCCCAAGGTCCACCCGAGTTGACAATAGGTGCAAAGATTTGACGAAAACTTGTGGGAATGGTGAAATGTTTATGTTCTTCCGGCCTCTACCTCCTCCAAGGCTTGCCCTCGGCGGCTCGCAAAAAACACTACTTTGGAACGGTTCCTGCTTGCACTAAATTTTGCCTTCTGGTGGCTCACAGGGGCGAGCTACATGGGAATGGCCCCTTCCTCTTCTACAACTTACTCCCGTAGCTCACAGGAGGTATGCTATCGTTGGACCGGCCCTTTTCTGCTGGCCGCGGATGGCTCACAAAAGGTATGCTACATGTGAACGGTTTTTTCCACGATTGTTTCCATCATACACATGCAGCCGTAAGCAACGACGATGAGAAACAAAGGACGTGTGACAAGGTACTTTCCAAGTCGCAAAGCTAAAACTAAAACAAAAAAAACACAGTAGCAAAAGCAAAAGCAAGAACAGGAACAAAAACAAAACACACAAAAAAACAAAAACTACACATACAAAATACACCCTTTCAAAAACGTGTGCGGTGTTTTTGTTTTGCGACAAGTTTCGGGCGCTGGGACCTGGCAATGCCCATCGTCCCATGGTTCCTGCACACAAACCTCCATGCACTTCCGATTCTACTAATAGGTTCTTCACCACACCGACCCCTCACCTTTGCTCCTTTGCCACCTGCCTCGTCATTGCCCCGCATGGCCGGCAGCCGGCCCGGGTACCGGTGCGTCGCTCAATCTGTCAAACCCCCAAAAAAAAGTTGGTAAGATATTCTTGTAGCAGCTGATGCCGCAAAAATCGGGCGGCAAGAAATCATCAACCTAGAACCACACGCACACGCGTACGCAAGCGGAGGCAGTGCTCGCACAACGTCCATGGACTTTGTTGTTTAAGCACGCGTGTTCCAGTCAGGCTGGTGTTTATCCCCACTCACACCGTTTTGTTTGGTTACAATGATGCAGCCACGCCCCTTCACCTCTGAGCCTAAACAGGGCGCAAATACCACAAACGATGTAACATGGATCAAGCGGCCAATGTTCATACTATTAAAATACCGCAACTGCCGGAAATTGATGTGCACTCTTGGTACCTGGACACATGCAGAGACACAACCAACCACTATTGCATGCCAATACACGCGGCCGCAAGGGCGGGTTCGACCAGTAACGGTTTGCATCGACTGCGTACGTAAGAATAGCCCAGGATTTATCTTCACGGATATCTTTCTCTCTGTCAAATTTTGAAAACATGCTTTATGTTTAAGCTCGCGATGCATCTTGAAATGGCGCGGGCGCGGTTTTCAACCGCAAGTCTCGGGCCTAGTTGGCCACCGGTGCCCAAAAAAATGCCTGAATGATTGTCCTTACATTCCTCCAGCGGTTTCTATCGCTCCTCCTTCACAGGCAAAAATGACAAAGTCGTATTAGTTTGCTCCAGCAAAATGGGAACATGCCGTTTCAAAATGCAACACTTTGCCAGCGGGTGTCGTTCGAAATTGTTTTTCTATGTACAACTATGTACATGTTTTTTCTGCAGCACTCGTTTCAATTTTTGTACCGGGCCATGACTTGGTGGTCAACCCACTGCGATGCTTGGGCCTGTTGATCCACCATCTCAACCTGCACACTCATGTAGTTCTTCTTTGCCCGAATCATGGCCTTCACACTGTGGTGGATAAAGGCCACCGTGCCCTTGAAAAACTCATTCAAGAAGGTCCGAAGCCAGCTACATAGGCCCAAGGCCCCGCTGCAACCACGCACCATCCAGTTCCAATCCATGTTTTTCTCTTCCCTCTTTTTTTCCCTCACCTTAGTTGAAGTGCCACCAACCTGCACTGGAAGACAAATCTTGAGGTCTTTGTTCTTGCCGAACTTCTTCATGCCCTGCTTCAGCTGGTACTCCTTCTCGATCTCGCGGCGCTCCTCTTCACCCACGCGGTCACCCATAGAGTCTACCATGTGGATCACGCAAAGCAAACTACAGATTTTTCTTTGGCAAGTTCTTGGTGCTAACGTCTGCACTGTTGAGGTCAGTGGCGAGAGGTGCCTCTGAAGCAATTTTGTTGCTCCCCCACCAGAAGCAGGGGCAATTGCCTTCTCGACGAGGCTGCCATCTAGAACACCTGCATCGAAAAGGACGATTTCTGCAATTTTCGTTGCCAGCATGGCCTGGGCCGAAAATCAGCCTGATCGACTTCATCGAACTTTCGATAGTCCATCATAGATTCGCCCTTCTTTCGCTCTGCCAGCCTCGCGCCATATCCACCAGTTCCACAAAAGTATGAACAGGTGTGCCACGCGTTCTTTATGGCATGCTTCGTTGGCCTTGGCATGTGCCGAGCCAAACGTCAGGACGCTCCCCAGCCATGCACATCAGTCTCCCCACGATGCCCCTGCATTTGGTGACCCCGCTGCCCTCTCAGAGTCATCCTTCTTTGCCGAACTTCGAGTAGAGTTCCACGTCCTTCTCGAAGCTGTCGTACTGCTTTCGATCACATCGTATGTCACAGTGTCTCATGCCCAGGTTGAGTTGCTGCTGCAGGTAGAAGAATTAGTCCCCCTGTCGGACAGTTTCCTTCCCTTCCACATTCCATTGGCTCTCCTCGTTGGAGTATCGGACCAGATTCCTCACTTGGTTTTCTCTTCCCACACTGTGAACAGTTCGTCCACGCGCACAATGGGGTACAGGAGGTTCTGGATGAACATCAAAGTCGGTTGCATGAAAGCTTGTTCCACTCCATACTCTCGACAGGTGGCGCGCAAACAACTGGAACCATTGTGACACTGCAGTCCTCTGGCCTGGTAGGCCACGTGCTAGCTTGAAAATCTTGTCATCCACCTGCACAGGGGCATTCAGGCTGCGCTGCAAAAGGAAGACATTTATCATCTATGATGTCCGGAGTCACCACTACAAAGTCCCTTCTCACATTCAGCAAGGAGTGGATCAGCACCTTGGGGGGCCACCAAGCTCGCCCATCTGAACCAGCCACCCATATCCAGCCGGCGTTTCTAGCAGTATACCTCCTCGGTGCTGATGATGTAGCCTTCGGTCTGCTCCACTTCACTTCGGTCAGTTTGAATCACCGCCGGATTTGGGAGCATTTGTTGAAGTTCTGTGTCATGTGCATCTTGCATGTTTCTTTGGCGATTCGGTCCAGTGTTGTCTCTTGCTATCTCTCTCCTCCTGTTCTTCTCCTCCTCGATCAGCTGCCCCTTCACTGGTGCGCATGTAGGAGTCCCTGCTTCTTCACGAGCATCCATTTCCAAGGCGGGCTGCCTGTAGCATCCTGTAGCGTTGTGCTTGCCCAGCATGTTTCAGGAATATTTTTTGTGCAAAGTAGCTCCATGGTAAGCCCTTGGTGGTGAAGATCTTGGGTCCTCTGAAGCTCTGTTCTGGTGACAACCTGCAGACGGTCCTTGCGTCGCAGGCCCCAGTTGTACCACATGGTTGTCCATCCATGGATGTTTAGTCACCCAGATGCTTTTCTCGAAACAGGCACTGCCTTTGTTTCAAACTGCGCGCTTCAAAAAACAGTTTGTCCAAACAATGCCGGTATTCCCTGCTAAGGGTGCCCAGTTGCCAGTTCCAAGTTTGTGCGATTTGTTCCATCTATCACCCTGAATCTGTTGATCAGGAAGGGGGAAATGCCCAAGGTCCCCCAAATGTTGATGCGTGCTTTGTCCTCAGCATGCCACCCCAAACCGTTTGCCATACGTCGTATCGTCTGTACTGCCCGCTCAACCTGCCCATTGCAAGCGTGTTGTCCAGCCCCTGGTCCACAAATTTTTGCCTTCATACCCGGCACGGACAGATTTGAGTAGCCCTTTCACTGTCAGTTTGGGTGATGCAAGCACCTCTTGCCGAGTTCTCCAAAGCAAACCGGACAATCTCCTCGGTGATGGTCTTGAGGTTTGCTGTACCTTTGGATGGGGCAGGTGCCGCATGTACGCCCTTCAAGGAGGTCATGATCAGCACTGTGCCATACTGGTCTTGCCTCTCCGCCACCTTCTCCTGCACGGGTTTCTCTGTTCTGTCTTCCTCGCCAGTGTAGGTGTAGCAAAAGTCGATCTGGATGATGTTCTTGCCAGCTCGCTCATGCTTGTTTTGCTTGGGCCGACTGGCCACACAAGCCTGGCACTATGAAGACAAAGGCCAACGGATCACATTGTGCAGTCCCTGCTCTGCCAAGTGGGGAAGTTTGGTTTCCCCAAGGTGATAGGCCTCCTTCTCTGCTCATCATAGAGCTTGCTGGCCCGAGATGCATCTGGTTTTCCAAATTCACCTTGAATGCCACCAAGCGCCTCCCTGCCGTCAGTGTGGGCCAGTCGGGTTAGTTACCTAATTAGTTGTTTCTTTCTACACACCACCTGAGTTTCCTTCACTGACAGTTTTTCGGACAAAATGGCCTCGTGCACCTTCAATGGGCATGGCGCAATGGGCACTTCAGAGCCGTGCTCCCAGCAGTCCACACAACAAAGTCGGTAAAAGAACTGCATAAGCATGGAAAATAGACTGATGCCATCGAAAAAATCATGTACACGGCCCCTTACAAGTGACCATGTTGCTGGGGGCTTTTGCTTCTGACCAGGAACTGCTTTGAGGCAAGCCCACGTTTGTGGCTGCTTCAATGGACTGCACGGATTGCAGTTGGTATTGTTCACTGTTTGCAGGGATGAGGGTCTCCTGACACCCATCTAGCCTGAATGGCGGCAAGCGGGGCATCTGGTTGTGGGCTTGGAGGTGCGCGGGGCAGGCGAGGTGCAACCTTGGCAGGTGAATAGGGCCCAGACAAATTGTACAGTGGGTCAAGCGGGGCGTCGTCTGCTGGTCACTCCGCACAGAGAGCGGCGTGCATTCCTCCACCACAGCCACGGCTCTGTGCGGGGTTGTTGAACATGTTCGAGCCGCCATCTGTGGCACAGACTGTTGACCACGTGACGAAAATTGCCCCCCCGATCACACCAACCATGGTAACATCATTTGGCATGAACGTCACTATGGCAGGCTTCCACCTACCAGCCACAGGTGCCAAGAGACGTTGTGGGCAACTACTTACATTTAAGTGAGAGAACATTTCAGTGGTCCAACCTAGCTATCCCACGATCACTTCCCCCAATTCATGACGGTCAGATGATCTGGCGCCACATCTGTCTTAGCTCAAGAAAAAATGCTTCCAACACAAAGCCAATGTGCGTCCTCCTCAAAGCCAATGCACGCACCAATCCCACTCCGTGTTCGGAATGGGTTTCATCAAGCTTCATCAAGTTGATCTTAACGCGAAGCCAAGAACTGGCGCCATGCCATCGGCACCATTTGCGTAGGCGTAGTGAAGAAACTCAACGTGTTAAAGCATCAAACGAACGTGTCGCCGTTGAGGGATGGAAAAAAAGGCTGACCCTACAAAATCTGACAGAGGTTTCATTACCGGTGTGCAGAATGCTGTTTCCGTTCAGTTGGGTTTCTGTAGCTTGTGCGCAAACAGTTAACAGCTGCAGACTGCGCCAACCCATCTTTGGCAATTTGTCCGCTTTTGTCAGTCTGCCTGAGGTTTGTGGACACCATGTCTGCACAGCTTGGCACCGCAAAGGACCAAATTTGCGGTTTGGGCCGAAGCAGGTGTTTAACAAACGCGTCCTTAAGTGGAGAAGCGAAACTCATACTGTAGCTTTGAAAGGAAAGCCATGGAAAGCCACGGCATCAAAACGCAGTTTCAGCTGCAAAAGGAAACACGTCCCCAAACAAGAGGGGTACCATCCGAACACGACCCAGAGTTCCTTGCAGTTCTATTGGTGGCACGCCATGGGCCACAAAGGCGTCAGGTTAAAGGGTCCGGTAATGCACCGCTGCGGAAGCGCACAAATCAATGTAACTAACGTATATGGACCTGAAACCCCTTTGACCTCTGCTTTGATAGGAAAATACCATATTTGGGGTAGTTGGTGGCTGGTCCAAAGTCGGGGTCATTCAGGGAAGTGTGTGAAAATAGGAAGACCTCCCAGTTCGACCGCTGAAAGGGAAATAGACCAGTCTACCTAGCCTGGGCCAAGAGGTCTCCTTATTCACAAATACACACCCATATGTTCTACACGATGACGAAGCGTCGCCAGCAAATGATTTTCTTTCCCCAACGTCCTGTGAACTTCCCCCAAGTTTGGAAAAGGAAGGTGCATTCGCACAAGGATGACGCGACCAAACCTGGCGGTGCAGGAATAGGCACGTCGTAACTTCGTGCCGGCCCCGACAAACAATCACGCACGCCAACAAACAAAGGCAGTAAAGCAATAAACAAACCAACAGACTATGTCAAACAATCACGATCATATCCACACCGCGTCATGCCATCCACAATCGTCCACACATCATCTTCACTCGCGCCACGTCACACCACGTCCGCGTCTCGCCGTCGATGATCGTCCGCGAAAACATCGGGCAGAACACGATGGGCCGGTCTGCAGAACTACCGCGCGCAGCCGAATTACTGCACAAACGGTCGAAGATGCAAATGCAAGTAGGCCTTTCAAGGCCATTTTTAAAAAAAATATTGTTGCTGCTTCGCTCACTGTCCCTTGCCTCCGGTCATTGCAGTCTTCAGAAGCTCTTATTTTCCAACTCAAAGCCACTGCTGGTTAGAGATCCGATGGACTTAGGCAAAGGTGAAGGTGGAAGTCAAGAGGTTCTGACAGCAGAACTGTTGCCAATAGTAAAATAATAAAAGAAAAAACGAATAAGAACTTTTGCCAAATCACCCCTTCAGGCGCTGGCCAAGCTTCACAGCCGCTCCGAAGGCGGCGATTGCTGCATCAAGTGAGGAGCCACATCCTCCATCCGGAGGGCGGAGGGGACCAGGAGTGTTTGCGCGACAGGAAAGACACGCATGTCAATATGTCGGCGTCCAGAGTTTTCGGCACAACCTTGTCAAGCATGGCCAAGTGTTTCGTGGTACAGTTCAGAGAATGCACAGAGGGGCTGTTGTTGTTCTTTTTCGGCCGATGCACCTTCGTTCGCCCGCCAACAATGCAGTCGTTCACAAGAACAGCGGAGGGGAGGGGAGCCGGTTCCTTGATCTGTCGAGCCAGACAGGGACAGCCGGACAGCACAAGCAGCCGGTGCTCAGACGGACCGCCGGTCGTTTCCGTTGGTCGCGGCCTCCGAACGCGGCCTCAGCGCGGCGAACGCCGCGGGCCCACTCTGGGTGCGGCGACCAGGCACCTCCGACGCGCTCAGACGTGATGAGCCAGGACCTGCGATGATCGGCGTTTCGATTGATAGCCCCTCATGAGGTGATAGAAGAGCTGGTCCCATGAAGCACCCACCTCTGTCCGGGCCCCGTCCGAGGCGCCGATCAGAGCGCCGATCAGATCGGACGGCGCCCGGGTCCGAAATGGATGGATGTGGCCCAAAGAGATGGTCTTCGCCGCTTCGCTCCAAGAGCGTGCACTTCAGACTCCCGGTATTGAAAAGGATAGAAACCATCCGGCACCGGTGAAAGTAGAGAGAGATCCAGTCCCACAGTCCTTGCACCCTTGGTGCGTGCTTTTGCAGTTGAAGAGAATGGGAGCACTCCACAAATCCTTCTTTGGCTCTTTCTCTTGGAAAAACACCTCTTCCTGGTTGCTGGTCAGGCTGTGGTTGGATCAGTGTAGATTCGAGAAACAAATCGGCCGCCATCTTCAACTTGCGAAAGCTGCTCATGAGGTATCTTTCTGGAGCGCTGCGAGGACTCGTGTCCACTCACATGTCTTCCTTCGCTGCGACTGGATGATGGGTGAGACCAAAGGCCCCCAAGTCTTTTGGGGGCAGCCAGCTGAAGACTTTGCAGCTGGCAGGTCGCCTTGACTCCCAGGAAAAAGCCATTCACTTGACAAATCTTGTCAAAACCTCTTCGTTGCCAGCTGGAGAAGCTAGCAAGGGCCTCCTTAGGCCCTTAATCTCGCTTCAACGACGGGTTTACTTGGGTTCCCATGCTTGTCCAATTGTTAACCCCATGTCCTTCCATGACGAGTTCCTTGCTTCCCCAAAAGTAGACCGAGGAAGGGGTATCCTGGATCCTCTTTCTTTTGGGTCACTTGTGGCAAACACCCCCATCGAAGTAAACAGAGACCACTCAATGCGCCTAATTAATGACTTATGACTCAAGACTAAATAAATGAAGCAATTTGTAACCCCACACAAGAAAGTGTTCACCGAATGGATACAAAATGGATCACTGCTTGCGAAATCGCAGCTGACCCTGACTGAAGAGGGAGACCTTCTCGCACGTCGTCTCTCTTCCGGTCCACCTGATCTCGTCTGGATTCTGCATGTAAAATGATGTAAACGTCAACCTCTCCGTTCTCCTTGTCGTAGGCTCTTCCCCCCATCTTGCAGGCGCCACCCATGCCGTTTCCGCGCCGAAAACCGACACGGCCCTCCGCCGAGGGCTTCTTTGTTGAAGCGCCTCCGAACAACTCCTATCCATCAGAGAATCTGGCAGGAGCTCTTCTTCACCTCCGCACAGCATGCGAGGCCACATCAAATCAGACAAGTTTCAGGGAAGGAAGTGGGTGGACTTGGGCAGCCCTGGGGGGCTGCCAAAAAAACATCATCCAGAGTCGCTGTCACACACATGGTTTCCCATTCATTCCCATTCTCCATCACCACCCAGTTTGCATGCTGGATAGACCCCGCTGACTATGTATGTTCCATCATGTTCCATCCAATCACCACTGGAACTGGGTGGTGCTGGGTGGTGCTGGATGAGACCAACCTCTTTCGTTTTCTCTTTCGCCCTCGCCTTGATAGTCTCATCCGAGCTCCGGTGTGGGCAATAGACCTTCTTGCAGCCCTGGCCTAACAGCGATGAGGCTGCGGACTGAAGGCTGGGGCAGAGGCCGGGGCACTTGGAGGTGTTGCAACATACGCTCCGTACGGAGAGCTCCGAACATGGAAGTGCCAGGACCCACGGGAGTTGGGTGGTTGTCGTGGACACCCCGAATCACCTTGAACAGGAGCGATCAATCGAAACCCCTTAAGGGGGTCCTGGTATGGCTTTCTATCTAGTGTTAGTGCAGCCACCCATCCATTCAATCCATCGGATCTCAGGGGCATGTGTCGATCTAATTCCATACTATCATGCAGGTCCACATGATGGGTCTCATGACCAGTGCCCAGATGAATCCTGGGAAGTGGATGGCTGTAGAGGAAAAAACATGGACCTTCCCCCAGCAGTTCCTCCATTCGCTGGGACGGGCGATCCAACTCCGGGGCCCCAGACAGAGGCACCAAAAGTAACAACCTCAGCGGTGCGCTGTTCGTCCGGGGCGGTGGACGGGCGGCGTTCGTCCGGGCAGACCGTCAAGAGGGCTCAGGCACCACTGGAAGCTTACAGTGTGCACAGAGTACCACGCACCGGCCATGGACCTGAAGGCTATTTTTCAAAGGGATGTTGAGTAGGCAAATGACCTATGCCAGGACCCACGGTCGGAGTGGTTGTCGCGGACACCCCGAATCAACTCGAACAGGAGCTATCAATAGAAACCCCGTGGGGGGTGGGTGAGAGATCACAAAAAAAATACTTAACGCATCAATAAAAAAATATTCCACACGCATCAAAAAAATATTTAATAACGCAAAAAAATATTCCAAATAGCAGTAGCAGTAAGAGTAGCAACCGGGCTATAATAGCAGCAGTATCGTAGTGGTAGTCGTGGTGTTTCGTGGCAGGTGCAGTACTTTGTGGACGTTGCAATGCACATTTCGTGGCAGGTGCAGGACTTTGTGGATGTTGAAGTGCAGAGTTGGTGGCCAGTGGTAGGCGCAGGACTTTTTTGTGGACCTTGAAGTGCAGATTTCGTGGCAGGTGCAGGACTGTGTGGATGTGGAAGTGCAGAGGTGGTGGCAGGTGCAGGACTTTGTGGGCCTTGGAGTGCAGATTTCGTGGCAGGCGCAGGAGTTTTTGATGTGGAAGTAGAGTTGGTGGCAGGTGCAGGACTTTGTGGGCCTTGGAGTGCAGATTTGGTGGCAGGCGCAAGACTTTGTGGACCTTGAAGTGCAGATTTCGTGGCAGGTGTAGTACTTGGTGGATGTTGAACTGCAGATAGACAGATAGAAAGATAGAAAAATAAATGGGCCGATAGATACATAGATAGATAGATAGGGAGATAGAGGAGGCATATTTGCTTGGTTGGAAAAATTTGGCGCCGGGAGTTCCCCTTAAAATATTGACTTTGG